GGGAACGGTCCAGCTACATCCATTGCTATTCTTTCAAAAGGGGCTCCTGAATTATACTGCTGCATGTAGCCTCGACTCTTCCGTGTTGGACCTTTAGCTCTTATGCACCTTTCACAATTGGCGATCCAGTCGGCAATGGATTTTTGACAGCCGACCCAGTAGAATCTCTGCTTTACCTTTTCAGCGGTTTTTGCTATGCCAAGATGTCCTCCACTTGGCCCATCGTGAAACTCCGACAAGACATCTCTTATTTTGGAGTCTGGGACGACGACCAAGTTCCGGTGAGATTTACCGTCCTCACTTTCCCATTTGCGATATAGGCAACCATCTTTTATAAGTAGGCTGTCCCACTGGGCAAAATAGGATTTCGACAATGTCCGGCTGTAGTACCCGATGACTTTTTCCTGTCCATCGATTTCCTGGGAAAGGACGCCACCGATGCCGCACGCACTTGCGTCTGTGTCCAGAACAAACTTGCCGCCAGGTATAGGGTATGCCAAAATGGGGGCTCTGCATAGCATGTCTTTGAGTTTACTGAATGCCTCTTCTTGGTCGTTGCCCCACTGAAACCTCTGGCCTTTTTGCGTCAAGCGGTGTAGACAGGCGGCGATGTTGGCAAAATTTGGGACAAATCGACGGTAGTAGGTGCAGAGACCCAGAAAGCTTCGCAGCTCATGGAGATTTCGGGGCTGCGGCCAATCTCTGACGGCTTGAATCTTCACCTTATCCGTCGATATGCCCTCCGGCGTCACGTGGTGCCCCAGGAACTTCACCTCTCGTTGGAAGAGACTGCACTTCTTTGGGTTCAGCTTGAGGCCTGAAGACGAAAGCTGCTGTAGAACATCCTTTAAATTCTTGATGTGTTCGTCGAAGTTGCGTCCCATGACTATGATGTCATCCAGGTATATGAGGCACGACTTCCACTGCAGCCCTTTTAACACACGCTCCATCAGCCTTTCAAATGTAGCCGGGGCGTTGCAGAGTCCAAAGGGCATGACATTGAACTGCCAGAGACCCCCATTAACGCCAAACGCTGTTTTCTCCTTATCTTTCTCGGCGATCTCTACCTGCCAGTACCCACTCTGCAGGTCGAGGGTGGAGAACCATGACGTCCCGGCTAATGTGTCCAGTGTGTCGTCGATTCTTGGGAGCGGATAGCTGTCTTTCTTGGTGACATCATTCAGCTTTCGGTAGTCCACACAAAATCGGGTGCTTCCGTCTTTCTTCTTGACCAATACCACTGGGGAGCACCATGGACTTGACGATGGTTCTATTACACCACTCTTTTCCATTTCACTTATCAGCTTCTGGACCTCGTCTCTTTTCGCCAGGGGAACACTTCTTGGAGGTTGTTTAATGGGTCTCGCGTCTGCTGTATTGATTTCATGCTTCACCACTGATGTTCTTCCTTGGTGCTCTTTTGTCAACGCAAATGTAGAGGCATATTTCCATAATAGCTGCTTAGCCTTGTTCCTCTCGGAAGGTGATAATTGGTGTGTCCACTCTTTTATGTAGCCGTCGAGGTGCTTCTTCTCCATGGCTGCTGGCTTTTCGGTGCTAGTTTCCAAATTAACTACAGCTTCAGCTGGTGTGCATTGTCCAACATCGGAAAATTGGCAAATTTGCTCTTGCTTGTTTGACAGGTTCAAAACTCTAACAGGAATTAATCCGTCCTTGTTGCTTTTCACCAGGGCATTCGCTATTAGGATGTTACTGTTTCTGTTTTCTGCTGGTTCCACCACCCACAACTTCTCGGCTCCACAATCTCCATTCATTGGTACCCATATTATTGCTTCGGCACAGGGCGGTATTATCTCTGGATGGTCCGTAGTCAGACGTCTAATGGGTGTACTTTCATCGTAGCCCACGTTTAACGGAATTTCGACGTTAGACCAGGTCATCACACGTTCTTTCATATCCAGATTGATACCGAAGGCAATCATAAAATCTGCGCCTATTATCACTTCGTCTACGATATCGGCAACTATAAACTCGTAATTCACCGATTTATTGGCAATAGTTAGTCTCAGGGTAATCTTGCCGTGTACTGCAGCGGGCTCCCCCGTTGCTGTGCGCAGTCTGACTCCATTAAGTTGCGTTATTTTTCCCTTTACCAGATCTGATCTTATGATGGACTTTGATGCGCCAGTATCTAACGTCAGAACTCGCTTGTCACCATTGATGTACCCAGTTGTTGTTAGGTTGTGACTTTTCTGCTGTACTATTGCTATGGAGATTGTGGGGCCATCGTCAATGGGAGCCAGTTCATGCCCCGCTGGACTGGCTCGATTTAGTTTAACGGTGACTCATTGGTGGACTGTTGAGCCATTCTTCTACCATCTTTCGTTGGAGGTGGCGACGATGACCTGGATCGTTTGCGCTTAGCTCTGCATTCGCGCGCAATATGACCTGTTTTATCGCAGTTGTAGCACCTAACCCTGGGCTTAGTCATTCCAACTAACTTTGTTTCTTCTATTACCCGCCTCATAGCGTCTTCGATCGAGTTAACGAGAAATTTGGGATCGCAACCTTCGGTCTCCAGTTGGCGAATCTTGTGGGTCTGGGGCTTAACAATTATTCTTGCCGTCTCTTGGGCAAGGGCAAACGACACGGTTTCGGCAAATGACGCTTTTGGTGACGCATATGTTGCACATTTAATCTCAGGGTCACGTATGCCATTCACAAAGGTTTCGATTTTAATACGGTCCACCAATGGGTGATTCTCTCCTGGATACGCCATTAGCACCAAACGTTCCACCTCAGCTGCAAAGTCTTGCAACGTCTCGTTTGCCCTCTGCACTCTTCCCCTTAATTCCATAAGGTAGATGTTTTGTTTATGTTCGCCACCGTACTTACGTTCCAGTGCAGCAATAACATCTTCATAGTTGTACCTAGAAGCGACAGGAATACTCTGTATAACATCAGCAGCACTGCCCTTCAATGCCAGAAGTAGTGCAACCGCTTTGTCGCTGTCGTTCCACGAATTTCTAGAAGCCACTGTCTCGAACTGTAACTTGAAAACATTGAATGACGTAGAGCCGTCGAATACAGGAGGTTTGATTTTTAGTGTGTTATCGGGAACTCGCACCGGACCACCTTTAATTTCCAGTTCCGACATTTTCTTCTCCAGATTCGTAACCCTGTGGCCGTGGACCAGAAATTTCTCATCCACAGACAGAATCTTCTCGTCAACCGACTGCACTTTCTTATCCAACTCTTTAATTTGGACCTCCACGGTTTCCACTCTACTTCCAATAACTTCTGTAATGTTCTCGAGTTTATCGTTCATTCTACAATTCTCTGACTTGAGTTCATCTAACTTCCTGGAATTCTGTTCGAACATTCGTCTCGTGTTTTCTACTAACATTCTGGAATTTTCCGCAAACATTTTAGCCAGCATTTCTCTGAAATCGTCACCCCTGGTAGCTACTGACGAGTCTTCTCCACCGTTGGATTCGCCCATTTCCGATAAATCCACTTCATCCTTACTGTCAAACTCGTATGTATCGATGTTCATACCACGGCGCTCGAACTCATCCAACAGACGTTTTTGTAGTTCAGCCTTGTTGCCAGTAGAGGACAATTCCAATTTATTGAGCTCCTTCTTCAAGTCTTCCACTCGTAGATCCTTAAACTTCATCGTAGTATTATCGTAATCTCACTTCCGACACCAATTGTTACGTTCTTGGATTTTAGTTAATCCCGTGTAGTCGTTGTTTTATTTCCCGATACAATTCGTACCAAATAAAACGCGGGTTCTTTCTGATTACGATTATTACAGTGATTTTATTCACACAACTTTACTTTGCACTTTACTTTACTCGACGGTTTCAATTCGCGATCTGATTCACAACTGACTCACTGCCTTTCCATTTCCCCTATTTATATGAGCCTAGCTTGTCGCTACAGAAGTTTCTAGACGATCTGGTAACACCTAGATCACGAACAATCTACCAATGCAACAAACACACATACAAAACTTACATTGAGTAAACAATAACAACAACACATATACAGGCGAGGGAATAACAAAGAAAGAGGAATAACAACAACACATATACAGGCGAGGGAATAACAAAGAAAGAGGAATGACGTTTAACAAGAATTGTACGACAATAACAAAAATAGAAAATGAAAGAGGAAATGGAAGGATGTAGAAAAATCTATACAGTAGTTGTTGTTGTGAAGTTATTCAAATAAACTGCGTAGTAGAAATTTACGTTACAATTCAAATTCTTAAATTAACGGAATTCATCTAAATTAACTTAAATCTAAAGTTATATTCGTAACAATACGATATCGCCTACGAGTGTTTTCATCGCCTGGTAGTAACTTTTTGGATATTATTTGGATAGAAAATGCTTGCTGGGACAAATTTTGTGTATGTATGTGTATTGTTTTTAATATTATGTCAAATAAATTCAAAATAAATTGAAATATATTCATGTTTAATTGAAATGAAAATGATGTTGTTAACACGTACTTGGTTACGTATGAAACAAATATTTTATGGTGTTCCCTACTGGGAACACCATAAAAAAATTATTATTTGGAAAAATGTCAAATAACTTGTTGCGAATATTTATTTTATTTTTGGCAGAAGAAGCCACACGTGCATAGTTGCTTTTTTGTTATTCGCCTCAAGCTGCCCTGCCTTGTATTATTGTACCATGGGTAGTACACACAAATAAGTTGAAATTTCGGTGTAAAAGGAGAAACAACAAATTTGAAAAAGAAAATTCTGATGTTAAATGAATTAGGAATAGTGTTGTATGAACGGGTTAATTAATGTACGTAATCCTGAGAGCGAACTACGTTGTTCGAATGTGGTCAGAACATGGTCAAGAAAGGTACTAAATGTAAAATTTGGTCGTTCTGTGTCACCCTGTAGTTTCGTTAAAAATGTTATCGAAAGTTAGCAACGTTGTTAACTTCACGCAGGTGTCAGCTGCTAATTATTCTTAACAGCTGTTGTTGATTTACATATTTATGTATATACATTTACATACATATATATATCAACAATAAAAATGTTTCCTATATCATTGAAAACGTTGAGTGACCAGGAAAGACACAATTACATATTGCAAACCTTTATTTTAAATAATAAAAGTTTTTCCGAGCAGCGGAAGCATAAACGCGATATTGATGTTATAAGAGAACATCACCGATTTTTATGGCATGAAGAAGCAGTTAATGATTCGTGGGAAGTGCGACTTGCCAAACGATACTATGACAAATTGTTCAAAGAATATTGTATAGCGGATCTCACGAGATACAAAGAGAACAAAATTGCTTTACGATGGCGTACCGAGGCTGAAGTTGTAGCTGGTATTGGCCAATTTCAATGTGGCAGTCGAAAATGTTTGGAAAAGGATAATCTTCGCAGCTGGGAGGTTAATTTTGCATATAAAGAACAGGGGGAAATAAAAAATGCTTTGATAAAATTAAGATTATGTCCGGGGCATTCAGAACAGCTGAACTACACGTCAAAGAAACGAGAGGTGAAACGGCTTAAACATGTAGAACGCCAAAAAGCAAAGGAAGAAAAGCGTAACCAGAAGAAATCTTCGAAGCCCGATAAAAATCACACAATTGCTAACGAGGACCAACAAGATTTGTCTAACGATGTCAATAAAGATTGCGATGTGATGTCAACGTGCCCTGTCGTTGAAAGTAATGAACAAGAAGAGGAAGTTGTGGAAGAATCTGATGAAATATGGAATAGAAACACTATCAATGATGTTGATCCCGTCTCCAGGGAGAGCGAATTTGAACGATACCTTGAAGATCTTCTACTTTAAAAGCAAATACGAGTTAAATATTTCTCTAATTTATAGGTACAATTTATTTTTTGACGACAATTCAATGCAAAAGGAATTTATAAATAAATGCCTAATTAACTTCAATTCAACCAGTACTGTAATAGATATGGTGCCCAAACCTTGACATTTAACATATTTTCTGAGAGAGGACATTTTAACAAGGAATTGAGACATAATTCTAGTTTAGTAGAAATGATCCATTTTTGAAATTTTTTGTTTCCAGAGGTAGGTATTTTTAGCTCAATTAAGGAGATATATTTGTTCGTGTTTTCTATACATTTTTATACCCACCACCTTAAAATGGAGTGCATATTAATTTTGTAATCAGTTTGCAATACCTCGATATCTTCACCTGGAGAACTCTTGGCAACAAGTACGATAGCGGCATAGTTGGGCAGACGTGCACACCAGCGTTGATGCGTTCTCTTAACATTTTTTGATGTTAAAACAAAAATAAACCTTAATAACAATTTTTCCGGAATTTTTTAATAAATTTATTTTTTGAACTTCCTAAGATGTTATTTATGTTTTAAAAATATTAAATTAATTAAATTCCGTAGAATTATTTATGTTTTTATTTTCCCTTAACAATTTTTTAAGATAAATTTTGCCCATCATTGGATAGCGGTGATGGCTAAACATCAATGATGGGCAAAATTTCTCTTAAAAAATTGTTAAGGGAAAATAAAAACATAAATAATTCTACGGAATTTAATTAATTTAATATTTTTAAAACATAAATAACATCTTAGGAAGTTAAAAAAAAAAATTCATTAAAAAATTCCGGAAAAAATTTTATTAAGGTTTATTTTTGTTTTAACACATAGTTGGGCAGACTTACACACCAGCGTTGATGGGCTCTCTTTACATTTTTTGATGTTAAAACAAAAATAAACATTAATGCAATTTTTTCCGAAATATTTTTAATGATTTTTTTTTAACTTCCTTGGATATTATTTATGCTTTCAAAATATTAAATTTAATAAATTCCGAACAAAAATTCATGTTTTTATTTTCCCTTAAACATTTTTAAGAGAAATTTTGCCCATCATTGTTTTAACATCAAAAAATTTTAAGAGAACGCATCAACGCTGGTGTGCACGTCTGCCCAACTATGCTAAACATGTATTCTCTTTCATTCTCTTTACGTCAGTTGTTTTTATTAATGTACTCTCAGTACCGCTCCCACACATTTACTCTTAATAAAATTCTGTTCAACACTGGTTTAGGGGCTCATCTCGGATTTTTCTGAAATTTTTGCCACAGGTAGGGCTCGTCTCCCTGATCACGAAAATATATGACTTTCATGGGAGAAGTCCATAATTCCCGAGGTATATACCTCTGAAGATCCGAAATTCCTATGCTCACAACTTCATTAATTATGGATCGATGAAGGTAATATTGGTATGTTTGTAAAGCGTACACATTATATTTTCACTTAAAATCGTCTTAATTAAAAATTATTCAAAATAGCCGGCCTTCGGCAGGGAATTTAAGATTTTCTCCTATGGACAGGCGAATTCGGTTACGCTATTAAAATTTCCTTTATATAATTTTTTTATATAGCCGGCCATCGGCCTGGGATTTAAGACTTTCACATATGGACAGGCGGATAATTCGGCTAACGCATCAAATTTTTTAACTAATTTTTTTTCTAAATAGCAGGCCTTCGGCCGGGACTTTAAGACTTTCTCCTATGGACAGATAGAAAATTCGGCTATACGATTGAAATGTTCTTTTAAATAAACATGTTTCTCCAAATATCCGCCAATATTACCATAATCGATCCATAAATGTCGAAGTTATGAGCATATGAACTTCAGAGGTCCATATCTCGGGAAATATGGATTTCCCCCATGATTGCCATATATTTTCGTGATCAGGGGGACGAGATCTACCTTTGGTAATTATATAATTTTTTATATTTTTCAAAACATATTGTATACGACTGCATATTGTATACGACTGGATAATGAAACTGGAACCTTGAAATACCGCAAATGGTACCCTTAATGGGAGCTATTCCAAAATATCAACCCATATATTCGTGCATTCATTGATACCCATGATTGATATAAATAGAAATTTGTAACAGGCAATCCACAAACTGGTTTTTATGTTACTGGTTCACACAATCCGCATTTACTGGTACACATTACCCGCCAAGTTATTTATTTCGCAGTTTTGAGTTTTTTATTTTAAATGTAATGCAAAAAAACTTGTATAGGCAAATATATATTAGGGGAGAACAAGGCTTGACATTTTTGAACGGCTTGGTTTTTTACAGTGTTTATGTTAAAACATAAATGTATTTTAGTCAAACATATCAGAAATGCATTTATTTATTAAAAAATATATGCAAAAATTTTCGAAAAATAAACAATTCAGATCAAAATTTATTAAAAAATAAAATGACATAAAACAAAATTTAATATGGTGAAAAATACAGTTAATTTCGTAGTCTTATTATCCCATTTGAAATTTTGAGAAATCGAATATGAAAGAAATTACATTAGTTATGTTTGAAATGATTATTGGAATGCAAAAATTTGTTTAACGAAAGAAAACTTTCACAGAACTCTTCCTGTGTTTACAATTACACTGCGAAAACATGGTCACCCATGTACAATTTGTCGACAACTGAAAAAGCTAGCCAAAGTGGTTTACGCAGATAAAGAACAAGATTGTCATATACAAAAATGTGGGTCAGAAAAAATTTAAACCAAGATTTTATGAGCGCTGCCCCCTCTCTCCTATATTTGATCTGAAATATATTAGGTCGAAAATTTCGATAAAATCGGAGAAATTATCGAAGTTGAACGTCATGTTTGCAGTCGTAACATCGCCCGGAGAAATGATCGAAGTTGACCGGCATGCTAGCAGTCGTAACATCGCCCAGCCGTAAAATCGACCATAAAACTATTTTAAACCAGGAAGGTTCTGCTATGCATTTGGTGGGACTGGAAGGGGATTATTTATTATGTGTTGCTTCCATATGGCCAAACGCTAAATTCTGATCTTTACTGTCAACAACTGGACCGTAGGAAGATAGCAGAAACGGCCAAAATTGCCCAACAGGAGTGGTGCGTGTTCCATCAGGACAACGCTAGGCCACACACATCTACAGTGACTCTCCAGAAACTTCGGGAGCTTGGATGGGGAGGTTTTAATGCATCCGCCATACAGTTCGAACTTGGCACCAAGCGATTATCATCGTTTTTAATGATAAAAAAAATTGGTATCTAGGGAGGGAGTTTTTTGTAAATTGAGAGCAGGACTTCTATGAGAGAGACATTATGAAGTTAGCTTTAAAATGGCAACAAATTATACAGCAAAACGGTGCATATTTGGCCAAATCGAACATTTCGAAGCAGGTTAAATAAAGTCCTATAGTTCATATAAAAATAATGGATTTCTTTTTCCCCAACCTAATATTATAAAGACGAATTAAAGTTGTTACTGTTGTTGTGGATTTTATTATAATCACAATAATAAATTAATGTTTAAAAATAAATAAAATATATTTGTGTATATGAAACGCACACCGGAATACAGACATTGTTCTCATATGCTTATAATATTATTATTCTAGACATCTTATACAGTCCTCGAAATATATCTATAAATTTTAGATAGATTAGTGAAGTTATGTTCGTGTTAAATCTGATGTTGATATAAATGTATGTGTCAATGTACAATTTGGTTTTAAAAGTGTGTATAAAGCACTTTAGTGAAAACGAATGATTATTTGAGGGTGATCAATGTGATTGAGATTCTTTATAAAGGTCTTAAAAAGGGATAATACAAAATAGCAAAGGGTTTATAAAAAAATATGTCTTTTACGCTGTTAAAATATTCTGATATTAAATTTGACATATTCAGATTGTTGAATAAATACAAATGTCATATTTATATTTACACAGGAGAATTGCATATATTAACAAGGCCATTGCTGTTGCTGTTTCTTTTGTGGGCTTTGTCATATTTGAGAAATATATCTTCCAATGTTGTTTCATTAACTGAATATTCTTCTACAAGTTCACCGACAATGCTTTGAAACTGAGCACATCTATTAAAAACATCAGACCACACAATTATATCAAATGCTTTGATGAAATAAGTCAAAATGCCAGCATGGTTCTCTCGCAGTTTACAATGTGGAAATATTTCTTTTAAATGGTGTGTAACCGTTTGTACTTCAATTTCTGTTGCTTCGTCATTTCGAAGTTTTACACTAATTGTGAATCCGGCTCCGTATAACTGTTTGAGTTCGGGAATGTGTCCTAAGCATTTAAATTGTCCCTCTGCCATTATGGCTAGTCGATTGCACAAATGTTCACATTCGTCCATGCTGAAAATATATTAAATATATTAAAGTTAGAATATTTAACTTACTAACATTAAAAACCCAAATGTGAAAAGTATGCAAACTTTTTGTTTTAACATTTACCTGTGGGATGTAAGTACGATGGTTTTGTCACGTTTTTGGAAATCTTGTATTGTTTTCCATAGGAAACGTCTAGATATTGGATCAACACCAGTTGTTGGCTCATCCAACAGTACTAATGATGGGCTGCCAATCTACGTTTTCAAATACAAAAAAAAAAAAACTAATATTGAAGAAAACTAACAATATTTATAATATTAGTTGAAATGACATACCATGGCAGTTGCAGTCTGCAGTTTTCTTTTTGTACCTCCCGAATAATGCTTCACCTGAATATTTTCGAAATTGGTTAAATCCAATTTTTCTATCCAATACATTACTTCTTCATGTACATATTGGCATTGTATTCCTCTTAGCAATGCCATATACTTAAGCGTTTGATATGCCGTCATAAAATCATTGAGACTATCGTTTTGTGGGCAGTAGCCAAATCGGTATCTATACTCGGGCTCATTATGTACTATATCAACCCCGTCAATTTTAATGGTACCGGAGGTAATAACCTGATTTGCTGCAATCATTTCGAAAGTAG